TGGAATTTATTCCGTATACACCAATGCTATATGTATATATATATATATATATATATATATATATATATATATATATATATATATATATATTGTTACGAACTTGTAGCATATAGATGAACCACAGGTTTAAAAAAACGAAAACGTGGGATCTTTTTTCTCGGTTTTCACTCAGAAATGGAAACGACACAAGGGAATCAACGAAGAACAGACACAAGACGATGGATTTCAAAAGAAAACATGTATTTATAAATATATATGAAGAAATAAAGAAAGAAAAAAAAAGAACATTCATTTACCAAAGCGGAAGGAGATCATTAAAGAACAGAAAGCGCTAGCGAATATATACATATATAAAAACAGATCAAACCAAGAGAATCAACTTATCTTTCAGTCGAGCTGATATTTTCACACAAAGTTCTGATTCGCCGAAGCGAGAGTTCTGATGCAAAAACAATATTTTTGGCCGGCCGGCAATTTTCCTGGATTTCTTTTCTTTCACAATCGTTCGAGGGTCCACAGCATCTCGTACAGGCATTTCGTTGGGTTGATCAGTTCCATAGCAGTCCTTTCACCCCTAGTCGACAGACTTTGCTGTCTTCTTCATCTCGGTGGGCAGTCTGACGATTTTGCCCAGCGACGTTCAACTGCCGCTGATCAGAGGAAAACTGAAAATCCTTTTTTTGATTTTTGCTGTCCCCAAAGACAGTCACGTGGGTTCCCTTCGTCCTTGACCGGGTACGCAGGAGGATAGGGCGCAAATCACGCAGTGCTTGTGTGATGGCCAAAAGTTCAATTCACGCTTAGTATGTTCTGATCACGTGAATCGCAGCAGGAGATCCTGGTGGTGCCTGGAATTCACTCATGGTCAAACGCCTGATAGCTGCGAAATTTTGGAACCAGGTCATTCTCGCGTCGGGTTACTTCAAAGTTCACGGGCCCTTGGCTCGTGGGTGGAAGAGTAGATAAAGAGGGAAAAGAATTTGTGAAGAGAAGCGGAGTGCATGGCTGATCATAGAATATATTCCCTCGCAAGTCGAAAGCATTGTATTAAATTTCTATTTTTATTTATTTATTTATTTTTCTTTTATATCTAATTTTCTCTTTATTTAAGATTTTACATTGGGGTGCTTTTTAGCCTAACTTCTATGTAGTTAATGAAATCGTGGCTACGTGATATATATATATATATATATATATATATATATATATATATATATATTTAAAATTATCGGAAAATGGCCGGTTCTCGTATTTGTAAAGCGCCAGATCAGACGGAAAATACCAAATCTGAGCAGGAGTTGCCCCGTCCACATATTTCAGCCTGATGGGTGATGATTTATGTTTACATCATAGCATAAAGCTACACCAATTCAATCATCTTTCGATGTGCATTAACACATTTCATCTGGCGTCAGTAAAAACCTGAGGAGATGTGTTAATACACATCGAAACATGATTGCATTTGTGTAGCGCTATTCACGTTTTATGTAATATCCTGCAATAAATTATATATATATATATATATATATATATATATATATATGTGTGTGTGTGTGTGTGTGTGTGTGTGTGTGTGTGTGTGTGAGAGAGAGAGAGAGAGAGAATATATAGAAAATAGGAAAGAACTGGTTAGGTAAATAATCCAAAGTTCTTTAGTATTTTTGTTATTATTTTTAAAAAATAGTGCTCGATACAAATGTAGAGCATACATATAATTATTTATTTAAAAATATGATTCCAACACGCTACATAAGAGTTCTCATGTTTCAAAACAAGAGCCGAAAACTTCAATATAATTATTTGAATTAAATTGAATTAAAGTAAGCTCTTTTCCATCTTCAAGCGAAATTTTTTTGGGAATAACTTATTTCTGAAATTTACGTGTTTTAATAGCATATTCATTATTGAAATCAAAATTTCCATAGTAACAGCCAGGGCGATTGTTTAAATCAGAAGGGGTGTTGGGTGTTAAATTTGTATCAGTATAGAGTTACATTTATAGATGTCAAGTCAGGGTAAAGTGGGGATATCTAAATTTAAAACGGAATATATATATATATATATATATATATATATATATATATAATTTGGAACCTTGAATTTTAGCTCTAAACACGATAAAATGCAAGGAATTATCGATTTTTCTTTTTCGCTGCTTCCGAAAATTCTATGAATTAAGTTTTTACTTATTGATCAAACAGTTGGGTATAGTTTGTACTGAGTGAACCTTGCCTAGCCTAAAGGTAATTGTATTTTGAAGGTTTTTTTTTAACCTGGTCTATCGATCATATTCAGCGATCTGTGAAGTAGACAAGGACGGACGGTAAGAAAGCTTCAAGGAGAAGTTTTCGAAACATGTTAAGAGGTTAAAGTGCTTTCTCTGAGACGAGCTTCCATTGCTTTCGGTAAACTTGAATAAAACGTTTCAAAATAAAAGGCTGTCTGATTTTTTTTTTTTTACTTTGTCTGCTCTCAAACCCAGACAAAAAGATTTATGCAACTATAAACCTAGATTTGATCTGAACATCGAATAACGATTAACGGCTTGTTAAGATTACCATCAGTTCTGTTGGGTTGCTTTCACTTTGCATGAACAAATATGGAAAAGATAAGAATCCCTTTATAATTCTGCCGACTGTGGGTCAGATAGATATTAAATAAGAAAACTGTAGCTACCTGTGTTGAAAATACAAAGACATTGATTTACAAAATCTTTTCCCAAGAAATTTATAGTAAAGAAAGTAGAAGGAATCTGCGAAAAGACAACTTAGAAATCAAAACTGTGGAAAAAGTAACGGAAAAAACGACTGTATCTTTTCAAAGAAGGCCAAGCTATTGACCGATGTATAAAGAAATGGAATCTATGAACAGCCTTATTGTGAGGAACTGAAGAAGGACAACTTGGAAATCGAAACTATGTAGAGGCAACGGGAAACTACTCCATTATCTTTCCTAAGGCGCCATGGCAGTTTACATATAATAAAGAATAGGGATCTGTGGACACTCCATTATCTTTCCTAATTCTAATTCCACGTGCCATGTTTAATGGATGTCAGTTCAACATTCCAACCACCTGAAGAAGGCCGGAGCGTACAACGGCCGAAACGTTGTAATAAATATGGAGACAAAGATGAGGACAATAGTCCGAATAATGTAAATAGTGTACACAATACCGCATCTCAGAAATATAGACAGATACTGAGTTGCTATTCATTACTCCAGAGAAGGAAATATGATTAATTATTTTTTTAAAAATTAAATACAGTGTAACCCGGATATAAGAGACCCGGATATAAGAGACCCGGATATAAGAGAAACCCGGATATAAGAGAGATTTTCTCTGGTCCCAAATTAGAGCCTGTGTTAATGTATATAAAATAGAACAAACCCGGATATAAGATACTTCTTCTCCGGTCCCGACAACTCTCTTATATCCGGGTTACACTGTAGAAAGAAAACGTACGAGGTTTGATCAAAAACTATAGGGACTGGTGCTTTAAAAAGAAAACTACAACACCTATCAATTCGCCATTTAATCTCCTTCGAAGTAGTTCTCTTCCGAAGCCGCACATTTCAGCCTGCGTTGTTTCCGTTCATGGAATAATACGTGGAACTCCTTTTTTGAGATATCGAGCAGCTGCCTCATCGCATTCCCTTGGCTTTACTTGACGTCTCCAAATCTAGTACCTTTCAAGTGGGATTTGTTTATTTTGGAAAGAGGGAAAAATCGTGAGGCGCGAGATCTGGGGGTGTATTTTGGTTGTCGGACTTGGAGAATATTGTGTTTGTCCAAAAAATGCTGCATAAGCCATGATCACTGACGGAACCTCTGGTTTGGTGAGACGACGACCACACTCTACACACTTTCCTTCCATGCACAGCTATAAACAAGGAAAGTGAGCGACAACTTTATAACTCAATTTGATTGCGCGAAAAAGTTAAAGGCCAATCTGTGATAAGTTGTTTGAGTTCAGCTCCATTATTATAGCAAACAATGCAGATGCATTTCGACTAAACCCCATGCAGAAAGAGAGTCTAAAGGAAAACAAATGAAGAAAATAAAGATATAGAGAAAAAAAGAAAGGATAAAAAAAACTATAGAAAAATAATTACATAAAAGAAATGTTGGCTTTTTCTTAGGACCGAACGCTGACAGACAGCCTTTAAATTTGGAAGCTCATTCTTGGTAGCAGATAACATAATTTTTTAAAAATAAATGAATGAAGTAACATCTGAGAAGCGTCTTGACAGTGGACGGTAAGTGCGACACTGAGATCCGTAGACATATTGGAATGGCCAAGGACACATTTCAGAAGCTGAGCAGAATATTGCCAGACAGGAGGATTTCTTTGGTAACAAATAAAGAATACTAAGCTGTTACATGATATCTGTTCTTTACGGTAGCGAATCTTGGACGATTTCCTCAAAGATGAAGAAGAGACTCGAGGCGACAGAGATGTGGTTCTACAGAAGGATGCTAAGGATATCATGGACCGAGCGTATGAGGTCTTAGAGAGGATGCAAATAAGGAGAAGGCTTATACTTAACATCAGAAAGAGGTAGCTGAAGTTTCTGGGACACATTATGAGGAAGGAGGGCCTAGAGAATCTGATACTCACGAGTCGAGTAGATGGAAAGAGAGACAAGGAAAAACGATGCGGGACATATATAGCTGACTTGCTTAAGTGGATGACAGAACGTGATCTGGGGGGAGGTGGCAGGGAGCTCCAATGGATAGAAGGAGGTGGAGAGCCATGATTGCCTACGTCCTGAAAGGACATGGCACATAAAAAGAAAAAGAAAGAATGCTTATTAAAGAGAAATAATAAATGATATTTCTTCTGAAGTGGGGTCCTGTTGAACGTCGGCCATATTCTAAAATGTATGAAATAGGTGACAAAAAGAAACTGAAAAAAATATGACAAATTACTATTTTTTTCTAGAGGTTTCATCTATTTCAAGTGCATCAGTCCAGTTGTTGAAAAGATTGCATAAACACG